GAGTAAACATGATTATCGTTTTTGATTAACCGCAATACTATGGATTATCAATCAAATCATCTCCCACCATTTATATTTCATTTAGTTTATGGATTTGTGAAATCAAAACACATGTGATTCTCTCCCAATCACTCATGTCGAGTTCGTGTCTCTTAAATGATCAACAATTTATGAAAATGAAAAGACACCAAAGTTTTATAAACAACTTTTAATATTGTCAATTTATTTTAATACTGTCAATAAAAGAAAATGAAAGCTTTAGGTTGCCGCAACAAATGGCGTGATCGATGTCTATATACGAGAGTTTCATTTGAAAGATTACTTTCTAAATTTGATATTTTTCTTTTTTTTTTCTAATTATTATTGGTCCTTTTCTCGCAATTAATTATTACTCGTGTTATAACTGGAGAAGTCAATATTAGTACAGTTGGAACCTGGAACTTGAAAAAAACTTTAAAAGGGTTGATCGATCAACGGACATAATGCCACCATAAATACAATTAGATAAGGGAGACTTAAAAACAAAAAACGTTTAAAGATAAGATTGATACTTTCTGTATGTAACTAATTCATTATCACTAAATCGAATACCTCATTCCAAAAAATTTGAGGATAAATATAATCATTTTTTCATAACATATGAAAAATGGGAAGATATTGGTGAATATAAGGCTTAAATGTTGATATTAATTTGAAGATTAAATATATGAATGTTTGAATAAATAGCAATTTTTTGTTACCTTCCAAATTTTTTACTAGCTAGTGAAGTTAGGTGATGTCGTTGGCCTACCTTATTTTCTAATATTAATGAGTTTCATTTTCACAGTCGATGAGGAGATTATGGTTTTAGAATCTCTCGAGTGTAATTGTTGCAACTACTACTCACTTATACTTTGATCCTAATAAGTATGACCTTTTTGGCCAATTATTTCAACTACATGTTTATAAGAAGTTTAAATTTATTAAAGATGCTAATCTTCAATCAATTTTTTTATCCAATCATATGTACTTAGCAACTGTTAACTCACCCACCACCAGATTCTCATCTTGACAAATATCGTTTCACTCCCTTTCATAATTCTTTAATCTTGATAAACTGAACTAACAACTACATTAATCTATCCAAACCGAGAGAAAAAAAAACCGATAAAAAACTAAAATGAATATAACTGGTAAACATTGTTTTACCTTTAAGATATTAAACAAATTATGTGTAAGATTTTAATTAAACATAAGTAGTATATAATTTCGTGGTTTGGTCATACTAAAGATCAGAAGTTTTGGTTTCACTTTCTAAAATGTCAGAATAATGTACGCCAATCCATGTGATAACTCATCATAAACATTCCTTCACATAAAATCAAGAGACTCCATAAGAAAATTAGGTGAAAGTAA